ATATACTTATTCCATGATAATTATATGTTTATCCTTTTGTGTGATGTAAATTAAATGCTGAATGGCGGTTCATGCAGGGAAAGAACATATCAATATTCGCATATTCATTCAAAAACATGAAAATTCTTAATGGAGTACCTTCATTTCTTATTGAATTCCTAAAAAACAATATTTATAATGAATTTTAATAATTCTTTCGGATTTTTTTTAAGCTTTATTATGACCGATTCACCCGATTTCCGATCCGGATCGCCGATTCACCGATCCGGATCGGTTTTTTGGAAGCCCGATCCGGGTCACCGATCCGTTTTTTAAACCATTGGTTGAAAGTATCGTTATCTTAAGCATGCTACTACAAACTAGCATTCAAATATTTTTCTATAATATTTCATTTACACTCATTGTTTCAAAACCACGATCAGTGGGATGGAGTGTACATCCCACAAATCTATTAGTGCCAATAAAAAATAAATAAATAAATAAATCAATAAAATCAATAAACAACTTACTCGGATCTGTCCTTAAAATTACACAAGGGAGTTAAGGTTCCATACCAAAACCTATAGACCAAGCCATCTGGTGACAGGCTACCTTGAGAATTCTCTTGGTGAATCTCCTTCATCTTCCATCTCTATTTTTTTATCCTTTTCTCTCTATCTTTTCTGGATGGGTTAACCTCCTTTTATAGAGAACACATTTATTTTGTAACCCTCACATTCATGGTCCATAAGAGTTGAGATCCAAGTGTAACTCTTGTCTTAATTCCCTTAAATACAACTAATTAGGATTAACAAGTTGTCACCAAACTGTTAATCCTATATAATGAGATAAACATGTCATTAGTCAACTAATGACTTATATCATATGATGTCATCTAAGCATTCCCATAATTTAGAAGGAATCCAAACACACCAATGGGTTTTCCTCCCAGTGATACATCTTATTAAAACTAAAAAAAGGATCCATGCATACGGCATTGCCTCATGTTAACCACATGAGATTTCACATATACTTCAATATAGATTTTGTACCATTATTGAAAAAAAGAATTTTGGGAGAAAAATGGCCTTATAGACCACATTTCCAAGAACTCCCACGTGGCCTGAAGGCCTTTTAACATATTGTACATGACATTGCTTCATGCTTTCTACATGGGATTTTCATATACCCAGCTTGTGTAGTCATACAGTGCTTTTAGATTTCTTAGACTCAACAACCTTATACATGGCATTGCCTCATGCTACTTGTATGAGATTTCATATATACCCTGCCAATGTAGTCAAACACCACACTTGGATTTCTTGGCCTCAATGGTTTTGTATATGGCATTGCCTCATACTACCTACATGATATTTCTCACATACCTTACAAATATGGTAATACACCACACTTAGACTTCCTGGCCTCAATAACCTTGTATATGGCATTGCCTCATGCTATTTGCATGAGATTTCAGATATACCCTGCCAAAGTGGTCAAACACCACAATTCGATTTTTTGGCTTCAATGGTTTTGTATATGAAATTGCTTCATGCTACCTGCATGGGATTTCTCAAATACCTTACCAACGTGGTCATACACCACACTTATATTACCTGGCCTCAATAAACTTGTATATAGCATTGCCTCATGCTTCTTCCATGGGATTTCACATATACCTTGTCAATGTGGTTAAACACCATATTTGGATTGTTTGGCCTCAATGGTTTTGTATATAACATTGACTCATGCTACCTGCATGAGATCTCTCATATACCTTACCAATGTGGTCATATATCACACTTAGATTTCCTAGCCTAAATAACCTTATATATGTCATTGCCTCATGCTACTTGTATAGGATTTTACATATACCCTGTCAATGTGGTCAAACACCACATTTCGATATCTTGTCCTAAATGGTTTTGTATATGGCATTGCCTCATGCTACCTGCATGTGATTTCTCATATACCTTACCAATGTGGTCATACATTACATTTAGATTTTCTAGCATCAATAACCTTATATATGGCATTTCCTCATGTTACTTGCATGAGATTTCATATATATCTTGCCAATGTGGCCAAACACCACACTTAAATTTTTTGGCCTCAATGGTTTTGTATATGGCATTGCTTCATGCAACATGCATAGGATTTATTATATAGTTTACCAATTATTCATCAACACGTTGAATTTTATTTACATCTATCGTAAAGGCAAGAGAAAAAAAAACTTATTGCTTCCGCCTATTTATTAAACATGTCATCCACCACTGGTTTTTAAGTCCAAAGCTCAGATTCGGATCGTAGATCAAAATAATAAAAACAATAATAATTTAACAAATTTGTTGGTATTATTATATACATAAAAGAAATATTTAAGTGGTCTCAACCTCAACAATAATAAAAGAAAGAAATATAATATCATTTCTGGTTGACATGTTCAATAAGTTTCAAATCGATGTTCAATAATGGCTCCGACTATTCTCAATATTTGGTTGTCATCATAATTACAAAAAATAGTCCAATATAGTTTAGTATGCTAGATTAGTAATTGCTCTCACTTTCTTAATGTGCGTTTATAATTATAGAGCTAACAAATTCAATTCTAATTTCGTAAATGATGATGTATTCCCACTATCTAATGAACAACTATCACCGATATGATAATTCAATCTAATATGATACATCATTAAATATTTTTAATGTCCTTTGGACATACACAAAACTTGATAAGATGTCAATGACAATTACAACTCATTGAAAAATAATAGCTCAGCATCAAATCCTTATGGGTACAAATTTAGTTTTCAAAACAAGTGAAAGAATACTAAGCAAAAAAAAATCGAAAAGTAAGTCACAACTTGGTTAAAAATAATAAACAACATTATCAATCTAAACAAAATATTATTAATGCTTGTAGAAATAAAGG